CAAGAAGAAAATATTTCCTTCATGTTTCTACAGATTGCGTTGGAATATACGTACAAATGTATATAGATTATAAGATAAAAAAGCGTTCTCCTGCCGTTTATTAAATATTACCGAAACGTGTGCGTAAATTTAAGTGGGAATGATTAATATTAAGATACATATTAGTATTCTAATATGCAAGGTCCATACGTGCAGTTGCAGATTTCTGGTTGGATCTTCAGGATCCTTTCTTCGTTTTGTACGAGTGTCTTGTTAGGCACTGTCATAATGCAAGTATTTATTTCAGAAGGAACAATTAATAATAAAGTACATATTGATAATTTAGTAATCAGGATTCATACGTGCAGTTGCACATTTCAATTTCGTTTTTAGAAAACATGTGTATCGTCTCACATGTATTGACATTTTGTTAGGTTCTTCATCTCTTGATTGGGCAGTTCTTTTAAGAACTCTCCTTTTCTAGCTCGTTTCTAACTTTTCGATAGCTTCTCCCTTAGATAGGTATTCGAATTTCTCGCCAAAGGAAGGGTGGTTGGGGCGAGGCTAGGGTGGGTCTCCAGTCGCAGCAACCTCCACGTGGTGAGACCCGGGTCATATTAATTACTATGTAATTAATATAATTATTAATATAATTATTAATTACATAGCAAATAATATGAGCTAATGGCTGCGATCTTCTTATAGTTCCACATACATTCTTCGTCCTGGTGTGCGGTCTAATAACACTGATTTCGAGTCGCAAATACGTTTTTACCGAGTTAGTTTTTAAATAAATAATATATTATAATTTAAAATAAAAAATAGAGGATTTACGGTGTATTTATCAATGAGATCCTTATTTGTTCTGAAACAAGTATGTTTGCTTGCGGGGGTCAAGTATAATCATATTAGGTGAAAAAATACCCCTGAAATCCTTCCCAGTTTCGAGAAAAACATTCCAAAAGATATTGAAATTTTTGATGAAATTAAATGTTATTTTATTACAATTTTTTTTTGAATCAGAGCTTGAAATACATCCTCATTCCTGCTTTCACCACAGACGAGTTATACGAGTAGACTTTACACCTTATGGACTTTCGCGGCCGAATCTGACTGCCATACCGACCTGAAAATTCGGAGCTGATTTTAGCGGCCTCTTCTCATGGATGGCGGTCAGTTGAGAAACTATTCTCAGAATTAGTATTGATACGCAACAGGTGTAGTGTTGCGTAAATACATGTGAGTTGACTATGGTAGGGATTGAAATTCATTTCTGAATCCGTTGGTAAAGTTGCGAGTGACACGAAAATGGTAATGGGGCTCTGGAGCCCCAGAAAAATTGGATAAAAGGTCTACTCGTATACCTCGTCTGTGGTACCACGAAAATAATAAAAAGAAATGAGATTATGACTATTAGAAGCGACTATTTAGACGATTCTCAACAAAGTATAATACTAGGTTGTTCAAAATTGACAACAAGTCATAGAAAACGATGGAACGACGATACGATTTCCTTATAATTAACATTGTCCGAACATAGTAATTCTCGAAGCTATTGTTAGTATCGATACAATCGATGTGGGATTGTTTAAATCGAAGTTCCTTTAACGAAACATGAAATTTAAAGTAATAACACCGAGAAAAACGTTTCTGGTGGACGGAATTTCTGCTCCGCCCTGTGCAAATACAATTGAACGCAGGCAAGTGGCAAACCCGAGAAAAGAAGATCGGGAGGCTGTGGTGTGCGCGTTGCCATATTCGGAAGTGCGACGAAGGGGAGCAACCGGTCGGTTGGTCCCTCCGACGCGATGCTCGCGAAACTGCCTCCTTGAAAAGAAGACGGCGGTGAACGCGTTCCTCCTGCGTAATCTCGCCGAAAGTATTTACATATTGGCATTTAAAGGACCCTTTATATCCTTTCACTGTCCACATATTTCCCCGTGTCGATTACGTTTTGGTATCGTTACTACATTTGGATCCTGTTATGCTAATTACCTTCGATCGATCTCTACTTCCCGTCTTTTCTTTGCATCGTCTAAGGTTAAGAACAAATTGACTAATTTCTAACGCATCGGGCTTAATACTGCCGCGCTCGATATTCGCTACAATTAGTTCGAGACACCAGTTACGCATCGACGATACTCCACGTTAAATCGCATCGGTTATGGGGAGAAAGTATTCAAGAAATTAATTATTTTGCAATAAAGAATAACGCTGGTCCGCGTGCATCGGAACGCGCAGCAGGCTCGGATGAGTCGATCGAATGGAATCGAACGAAAAAACGAGCCGAGGAACAGGTAGACGAGCAGCAGGGAATCGTTGTTGCGCGTTAAGTAGCTTAAATTTATTAAAACTACGAGAGAAAAGAAAGTGTTGTGGAAAGAAAAGAGAAGAAAAGTTTGGGCGTGGGTGTCTCAAGGTCTTCCGCTCGCCTTTTACGGCCATATGTAAAACCGGACATAGAGAGCCGCGGCAATGAACGAGACAGAGACGGATTACTATCGTGGAACAGAGACGAACAAACGAAGCATGTTTCGGTTGTTTGCACCTTTGCGTATTTTCGCTCCGTCCAAGTAACTATAACAATTTTCACGATTCGACGGAGTTGCTAATGCCGTTTACGTATTGCATGCGTCTATGTTAAACACGCTTCTTTGGAACGAGGCCAAACGACTAAAAGTTAACTCGTTTAGTACCAAGAGTGCGATTATTCAACTCCGTCACGTGATTCTTTCGCTCGGTTCGATCCTACATAGAGAAGTCGACGACTGATTGAGTACATTCGGACACCTTCTGCGTGCATATATTTTTGAATAAACCAATTAAAGAGAAAATCTTTGCCTTGAGATTCATTTCTTCGCTGCTCGCTACACGGACCCCCGTATAAACGGTCCAAGGAGAACTCGCTCTCTCCAAGTCTTCCATCGACAGAGGCGTTACCAGGGATGCATTGCTACAAAAATAATATACGCTCGTCGATTAATAAGATCCCAGGCTAATGCTACAGCACGACATCACGCGTCGCGTTGATTCACTGGCAAATATATCGACGACGATCTGATTTAACGCGTCTACGCAAACCATTCCAACCGCAAGCGATTACCTAACGTTTTTTTTTTCGCTTGGAAAGATAAATAATTTCAACGCGTCGACCAACCGTGCATGTCTCCACGATGACTCGTAAACCACTATTGAGTACAACTATCACGTAACTCGAACAAGCGACTAACAAATGCACGCGAATGACGATTGAAAATTTGTATCTCACTAAAAAAGTCTACACGAGTATATCATCAAAAGTTTTGTAAGGGGAACCTGGTCTATTATAGTTTTTCGTAAAATTCCATTGTATATTTCAAATATTGCTCGCAGTGCAGAACTTGAGCCGTTTATTTTGAAAGTGGCCCTAACTCCATTTTTCAATTTTTTCCGGTTACCATGGTTACATGTACAACTTCATGATATTTATCAGTAAAGCATTTCAGGTTGCTTATATTCCGAGCAAATACGATAATTCGTGACACATAAGTTTTCAGAGTTAGTTGAATAATTAAACCTTGTAGTTTGAAAGTGACCTAACTCCATTTATACTTAAATCAAGATATTTAATGTTTACATGTACGTTTGGGATGAAACTATTGCATCCAGAGGTGCTCAAGAAATTGTTTCATGCATCCTAAAACATGTTAAAAATTTAAGAAGTGAAAGACACATTATAGCTTACAGTGACATGTGCGCCGGGCAAAATAGAAACATTAAAGTAGCTTTAATGTGGTTAAAAATTGTCCAAACTTTGGAAAATAATGTGGAAATCATAGATCACAAATTTTTAATATCAGGACATTCGTTTTTACCAAATGATAGAGATTTTGGCGTGGTAGAAATGTCATTAAAAAAAAAGAGACAAGAAAATTTTCTATCAACAAAATTATTCGAAGACGCAATTTTTAAAAGGGTAAAGAATTCTGATGGAGAATCAATAAACTGGTTAAAAATATGTTGGATGCGTTTCGTCAGAAATGAACCGTATAAAATTTTCTATAAGACATCAAGAATGAGAATGAAAATTTTAAAGTCCTGAATTTATTACCACGTCGGGGTAGACCAAGAAAGTTTGAAAATATTGTATCGACACCACTGTATAAAAATATCAAACAAATTACAACAGCAAAATTCAAGGACATAACTGACCTATTACGATATATACCACCGGAACATCATGATTTCTTCAAATCCCTTTCACACGCACAAAATGTAGATGAGTAGTAAATTGTTTTGTAATAAATTTATGTTTGTAATTTTGTACGTTATATAGTTAAAAAATGTTTTGAATGGCATAAATTATGTTTCCAAAGTGTTTTAAAGATATGTAAAATAAATTCAGTATTGTTTTTTTTTCAATTTGAAGCATCTTAAATTATGTTGAATGGACTTGAGCACCTTCAAATTTTATAATGAATCTGGTTGTTAATTTTGAAAGTGGCCTAACTACATTCTTGATAAGAAAAGGCATATTATTCACTTAATAATTGCCACTATTTTAATAGGAACTATAAATTTAACACCCTTAGAGACACTTAAGCAGTATGACTCATTAGTATCCTATACGTATATTTTTAAATTCATTGAAACGCAAACATTTAAATATCTCGATTTGAAGATAAATGGACTTAGGCCACTTTAAAAATAAACGGCTCTCTTATGGGACGACCTAATACATAGAGCAGAGCGAGAGAATAGGTAGCGTAGCTCGAGGTCCCGCAGCGCGACATAAGGCCAGGCTACGCACTCGAAGGCGTAAATAGGTGGGTGGCTGGGTAGGCAGGAAGGATAGCCGTAAGAACGCGAGTGGCACTAAGATACACAGTACACGCGAGGCCGCGAGCTGTGCACGCCACGGAAAGAGAGGGAACGGAACCGAGCCGAGCCGAGCCGAGCAGCTCGGTCTGTTAAGAGGTCTCTCCTGTCGCAGGTAAAACGCCGCCTCTGGAAAGTGAGTTCAGTCGCGGCCGCGCGATCGCGTTGGATGATATTTACCTGCGCGTGCAAGTTGGGAATCAGGAGCGTACCGTCGCGTTGGCTCCGAGAACCTCGAGTGCCTCGAGACCGTATTCCTCGCACTGTTAGCTGCGTGCTAGCTACCCGTACAAGGTAGGACCAAACTACCTTTTTTCCACGCGTGATCATCGCCGGACTCGCCGCTATTGTACAAGATCAACCTCGTTTTTCGTTGGGCAGCGCGTCCATCGTTGTTCGCCCAATTCCACGCTCGGTTAACGAACGTACAGAAGCATCGAACACAAAGACGAACGATTCGAAAGACACGGGCGTGAGACGCGAATCGATTCCCGCTGGTCGCTATAAAAATACTCGGTGATCTGCGTGGATGACGGCATTGCGGGGAAACACCCACTCGGTTCGCGAATGTTGGCCGAACATTCCTCGAGGCGTACGATATCCACGAGTCCTCGTGCTACCAGCACTTTTTCTATTGCCCGCTCGGGTGCGTGGCTTTTTAACTCGTCGTACTCCTGGCGCGAATTCACGCTCGTTACGCTTGTCCCGCGTGAAACGGGATTTTTCGTAACGCGCGATCGGAGCCGTCCGTGAAAGTACTCGGATTACGTATCAACGTTAATTACTTTCACTCGTCGGTACGGAGGAACCACGCAAAAGGATCGAGAGTGGCTACGCCACTGGGCTTTACTTGCTTCGCGACCGAATCGGTGAATAATCCCTACGTGTACGGCTATTATACGGAACACGAGACGAAGGGAGGTCCCTGGGATTTCGCAGCTTCTACATTTCGGCCGCAAAACGACGAAACCGCGCGGATAAACGACCCGGCTACGAGTCCCGCCCCCCGTCGAAAACCGGTCCTGCTCGCCGCTGCCAGCCGATTTTGCCTGGCGAACACGCGATCGCCATCTTGGATCCGCCGGGGATGACGTCATTGGTACAAGGCACGGTCGCTTGCTCAATTCTAGCTGCAACTAGAGATGGAAACAGAGGCCGTATCGCAACGTGCATCCAATGCTAACGCTTCACGGAACGGCCCCGTTGATATTTCTTCCAGCTTTCTTCGACTTTACCGAACATTCAAGGGCTTCGGTTCACGACGATCGTGCTCCTCGCGAAACGAATCCTAACGCGCGGTAAACAGTGGGATGCTCGTTGCTCGAGGTCCCGCGCCTATGCATTTTCAGTAAATTTTACACGATAACTGGTTACATTTTTCTGCACCAACGATCGCTCCAAGGATAAACAAGGAGTTCTTTTACAGTCACTCGTGTTGTCTCGTCGTTCGTTTTACCGTTTTACAATTTTCGTCGTACCTACATATAGACGAACGGTACATTATTGTCGTTCGTAGGAAAGCGTTTTGCCAGCTTCGTTCCGTTTTACTTACACAATTATCGACACGATTTCTTTTCCCCGACCGAGAGCAACGAAATATGTACTTTGTGTACTCGACCGTTAACTCTAACGATATTATTCTACTATACGAGCAATGGTAGAAACGCGTTCGCGAGGAAAAGAGGACAATAATACATCACCTGGAGGATCGTTAATAAAAGAAACGGCCGAGTAACGTCGACGACGAGCAATGGTCAAAAGCCGTGACCACAGTGAATCGAACAACGCACATCTGCGTGCGTGCGTGCAGCCGTGACAGCGATCTTAAGCGATCTTGTTGGAATCCAAGTCGTGCAACTTGCTGTCTGTCTACTCCATAAACGAGAGTTCCGTGGAACAAGTTTAGGGCATATTTTGAATGCTTCGAGCAACGCCTCGCCTTGCCTCGCCTCGAGCATCTTTCGCGCGCATGCATCTGGTCAAAGTACGCGAAATGTTTCGTGCAACGGTACGTAACAGCTTTTTCGCCCCAACTTGCCCAGTTCCACGTAATTTTCCCTTTCGAGTTTTGGGGGACCCAGTCATTTATATATATTTGTATGAAATTTTACTAGGTAAAAAATACAATTCTATATTTATTGCAAACTTCTTATGATACGAGGCTACCGACAGTCAACGTTCAACCGTGCAAAAGATTCGATCTTGAAACGCGAACGCCAGAGTTTCATAATGGATAAACGCTCGACTCTTCCTCTTAATTACTGTTCCGTTCGATATTCTTTCCACATGGTAAAAGTTTATCTGCGCAACATCCATCGCAAACATCGCCGAAACACGCAAAGTAAAACCGTGACCGACAAATCTTCGGAAAAGCTTCGAGCTCGCACTACCGTTTGGAACTGTGTTGCTGAAAGTAATTACAGGATTTCGCACTCAACTGACTATATCGTTCGGTACGTTATTTAATTCTTCCATCTTTAATTGCGGTGCAATTAAACAGTACATTAATAGTATGCGCATACCTAAATTTCCGTAATGCTCGTACGAAATTAGCAAAACCTTAGACCGGTCTTTAAAAGCGAACTAAATTAATGATCTCTCGACGGAAACAGTTATATACTTTTACGTAAGAAACAACGAGCTGTACATCCACCTTTTTACAGTCCGAACGCGTGCATCTACGTTCGTTCGCAATGAGACTCGCTGACCGAGTGGTTAGTAATATTTGCCGGTCGAATGGCCATTGATTTGTATTTGGAAATTGGTAGCTTGGGTTTGTATAATACATATTAAGCGGAGTTTGGCGTGCAAGGGCACAGCCCCATGCACGAGCCAGAGTTTCGCGTGTGCGTGGCCAGTGAAAGTAAAGTGTTTGCGCAATCTGACGACGTTGTCTCGTTCGTATACTTACTGGTACTGGTACTGGTACTGGTTCGACTTTAAAGGCTCGATGCTTGTCTTCTAGACTTTCAACCAACGTGCTGCGTGTTAACGTCACTCTTGTCACGCTCGCCGCGTTTGTTTTTCCATCGAATCGATATTTTCTTCGACGGTACTTCCTCTCTTACGCGCGGATCCGAATCCCCTGCTTTACCGGTTCACGACAAAAGCTCTCTCTGTATTAGCGACAAACCAAACAAAACAAAATTATTAACACGGTGAATGAACAAGTGCAGCTCGTCTAAGACGTTTAAATCTCGAATGAACTTATATTTGCAATGGTTGCCGGCGGTGGCCCCATTACGGTAACATATTCAACGTCAGGTGTAAATGATCTACAGAGCGTTCTACCGATACTAAAAAGTGCACGCTTGAGAAACAGATATTCCATTTTATAAATTCTAATTTTCACCCATTTTGTTCGACGAAATCTGTCGTTTACATCGGTATGGAATTTATACCAAGGACAAGATGCACCGACCTCTAGCACCGAAGAGAAACAATCGTGTGGGAGCAGTCTCGTAACATGACATTCCACGTTGAATCGCGAATTGCGAATTACGGACACGTACTCAGCTCCTACACGAAAAATACATGTATAACCGATGCGTTAAGCTGATTTGGAGGCTTGGAACGTGATCGACAACATGATTATTTCTTTCAGTTGTGTGCTATTTAGTACCTGCTCGACGCGACGCCTCTCTCTTCAGGGGCGCGTTATAAGTACCTTCATGGGCTCCGAGACACAGTGGAATTTGGGGGTTCTCTCTATACAAAAAAAGAACAGAATTTCTTGGCAACGTTTAAAATTTCATTTTTACCAACGAATCATCGGAAATAACATTGAAACAATTTGCAACAAACGATCGGTTGCCGGTCAATTGCACATCACAGTTTGTTTCATCTTCGATATTTCTAAAAACGAGAATTTATGTTTCTTGCAGTCTTTTTTCACTAGTTTCTTATAGCGTTTAAAGGTTTGACTGCAGACGATGGACAGTGATATTGCGGTTTTACGATTTGCTCGATCGTCGACGTTAAATGTAAGCCAAAAGTGAAGTCAACCGATCAAACCAGCAGAATAAAAATCTTTCAGTTACCACAAGACGCGTAAAGTCTTGGTTACATTCTAAGAGATAGAAGATGCACGGAATTTCGGTAAATATAGGCGTGTAAAAAGGAAGGTGGAGCTGAAATTCTGCTTTTAAAACCTCGTTTCATCGTGTAACGTTTTACATTATTATGTAAGAAAGACGTTAATGATTCGAAAGTACGCAGAAAGTGAAGGCAGAACGATGAAGGAGAAGAGGTCATTACCTTCGCTGTCTGGAGAATTTGTTTCTTTGCTCGATTGTCATCGTTTCAAATTTTTAAGAACCTTACAATTTTCCATTGCATACAATCGTTTATTTAAACCGTGAACCTCGCAACGTTACCATTTCTGTTTAAGAACAGTGCTATCTATAGGTAATTCGAAGCCTTGGAAGTTTCAAAAACGAACGAACCTGACGCCTTTGACATTTTAAGAATCGCGAAAGTCTCGGTGACGTGTTCGAGATCTCGGAAAACTTGCCCAAATCGTTCGTTCGTGTGTATTTTTGTTCAGAGTTTCAACACGAATTTCACTTTAGCGTTCGTACGAAACTTTATTTTCAAGGATCTCCGAGTAACATTCTCAACGTTTAAATTTCCGTCGAAAGCTTCGCGATATTTTAAACAATATTCTCGTGTTCTCTTCTCGAGAGGAAAATCCCGAAACCAAGAATGAAAATAATTATGCAATCTTGAACGTACGGATAAAAAGAAAAAGATGAAATCGACCAACAAAGATTATGTTGTTCTATTTAGAGAAGAGATTCAAATACGACTCTTTACAGGCGAATTATTATTTGTTTACGGAACTATCCATCGTTTCTGGACAAAAGGTAAATAATATAATATAGAATTCGAAAGAATCGGTCGAGGCCTTTGCGAGAAGAGAGCGTACGCGTGTATGCGTGACAGGAAACAGTCGAGGTCGATACATACAGCGTCCATTCTTCGTATCGCTAAGTTATCTAACGATTTGCGAATAAAAAGAGAATAAGAAGCGATCAGGCAAATTCGAAAATCCACGCTCGATGCTAATTAAACTGCTTTCTTGTAATTTACAGATCGCCGGCATGCGATTGTTATAGCAGACGAGAATCGAGGGACAAGGGGAAGAGATCTGAAACGTTTCAACGATCAACGTAAGTTGAACGAAACCTATCCAAACACTTTGCTGCACAGAATAGCATGATTCCTATTTTTTTTTTATTGTTCTCTAATCATTTAACGATTCGATCGCTATTTATAGCTGTATGTCGGTCACACTTGCTGTACACATTCTATTACGTTCTCCTAGTCGGATCGAGATAAAATCACCCACCATACTCGTCGAATTTTGTGACTTTTATCGACCTTGCGATTAAATTCCAGTTTTCGTGTTTGTTTTCAACGAAAGCGTTCGACACGAATATCTTCTTAATCTCGTCCAACGAACGACGACGACGGCGAATCCCATAAATAAATGCCTTTTCGATGGTATCGTAATTGGAGAAGGTCAAGCGAATAGCTAAAACGTAGATACTGGTTCGTTACTGGTTCTGTGTAGAGCGAACGAACATTACCTCGGCATCTAACGGTGCGAGTGCATCGAAGCGTGCCAGAACTTTCCTTCGCGGTCCTCCAGGTATCACGGTACGCAACGAACAGAGGCTTTCGGATAAGTCACCAACTATCAACCCGCTGTTGTCATCGTCTCTGTCGTCTGACCTCCGCTGGAACCTAACGCGGAACAAGAAATTTCATCCTTTAACGATGCTCTGTGGTTCTTAGAGCGATGGGTCTACGTTTACAGAACGATAACGAACACCAACCATCAACCACTTGTTAGACGTACTTGATTTAAAGTAAACCACTATTCCCTGTTTAACGAACAAACTTGGAACATTGGTCTGTACATTGGTAAATACATCAACGCCATAAATTCCATCCATCGAGAATTTCATTTGCAATCATTAATGAGTGGTCGTTTTTTAACAATGGATATTGTCTATTTTGCAATGCACTTATAGAACGTGTCAAAGCATAACGTTGACGTGGTGCAAATACCGAATGGTCTGCTCTGCTCGACCCGTCGTACCGCTACCGGACACTTGGTCTCGTCTGTAGGGAACTGTGAAACCAGTAGTTCACAGCAATATACCTGCGAGGCTAGATATTAGATTTACATCTACCAACATTAGTCAAGAGACTAGAGGAAGGACCAGAAGCGTTTTATCAAACTGACCCACAGTGTTGCAACGTCTCGAGGGCAACATATTGGTTCGATAACTGACATGTCATGACTCCGTGCAGATGTACCGTAAATAGGATTCAAAGAATGCGCGACGGCCATTGGCTGAAATTTCCTGGGATTTTCGCGCATTAGTATTCCACGAATACGACAGAGATGCGATAGAATTTCGTAGTGGACGGGGTTGCACGCAATTCTTGGCAGCAACATTCTATTACATCCTAACGACTTTAAACGTAACTAACGATTGATCCATCGGACACGAGAGTTCACAGACATACTCTTGTTGCAATTTTCGACCCAGGTTGGGAATTTCTTAGTTCGAGTTCTGATTGAAAATCTTGGACACGTTAGAATATATTTGATAAACGTTTCTTCTAAGTTTCCCTCTCGTGAATCGTACGCCTATGCATTCGTTGGCAACGTCGCCACGTCCCTGCTTAATTATATCAACGGCTATTTATGCGCACGTTATCAACTATCTGTGCATTTTTAAATAATCAAAGACAATGCAAATAACGGTCGTAAGCAACGCACGGTCTGTTTCGTATGGAAATTGCATTTTCACCTATCGATCTACATCCACTTAACGGCTGTAATCGGATCTAGGAGTGGGATTTCAATCCCGATGAAAACAATAATTCTCTTTAACACGTCAGAAATTTTGTACTTCTACATCGATTGCGTGATCCAGGTTGGTTATTGTTATCTTATGCGACAAATACCGTCTTTTTTTGCCAAACATTGGCGTAGGAACTAGCAACGCGATAGAAATTACGTCGAGCAACTATGCTCGGCGTTGCTCGGAAGCCGTGAACGGTGAACGTCGACTGACAATGAGAATTCCACCCGCAAACATTACAATCCGATCCGACGTTCAAGTTTGCTATTCGCCACGGCTATTTACGTATCCAAGAGAGACACAACACATCGGCGAACAGTCTCCGTCGTTCCAGTTATTGCTCCAGGTCCGGTTGTGCCTGGCGTTCTTACCTTGCACGCTAGTTTTGTGCAGCTTCGATCCGGGCACAGGAACAAAGCGGTTCGAACTCACGCCTTTCAAAATAACACCGTCGACGTTATCGTCGGTTACGACCGAAGCTGGCTACGTCGATGGGAAACAACTTTCCCGAGTATCGGTTTAGAACGTATCAAAAATTTAATGGTCTAAACGTCCAACCACCCACAAACCGTGTCCTCGTAGATCCGCGTTGCAGAACCAAATATGTACCGTGTTTAAAAACGAAAAGCACTTTACCATTCGGCGATTCGAGGCTCCGTTTGTCGAGATACGAGCAGAATTAAAGTTTGCTAATGTCAGTTCCGGTATTGTAGGGAGATCGATTGAAATTCCAGTGACGTCAGAGGTAGGAAAGGGAAGTTGGTCGATGATGCACGTGCAGTTCAGCGAGCCATGACTGTACGTATGTGGCTTAATAACTAAATTTTAAGCGATACCGTTTGCGTTGACAAATGACAAAGATAGCGTCTAAAATATTCAAGCGAACGCGAACACGAACACGAACACGTGCAACACAAACGATCCGTCTGACAACTGCTGGAAGCACGGTATAGTAGCGACCAATCTTCACACTTATGGTGTACTAGACACCAAACTTTCTACCTCTGTCGACTTACAGAATGAAACAATTTTTATGCTACCACTTTACGACAAATGATTTCGAGGAATGAAAACGTGGAAACGGAATTCTTATATTCCATATGGAACGAATACCTCATTCTGCCTTTCTTTTCGCCAGATGCTGTCCAAGTTGCTGGCCGTGCTCTGCACAGCACTTCCGTTGGTGCTGTCGCAGAGCAATTATGCGTCGCACGGTAACAGCATCGAGTATCAGCCCGGTTTGCCACCCAGTACGGTCCTCGACGGGAAGGTGACCAAACTGGACGACATCTCGTCGATGATATTTCTGAACCGCACGAAGGCGTACCTGAATTGCAGCCAGGGTAGCATGCACGTCGAGCTGAAGTTCGAGGAACCGTTTTATGGTGTCGCCTACGCCGATTTCGATCGTAACAGCGCCTGCATATTCAAAGGACGCGGAGCAACCAGTGCTAAGTTGGAACTACCTCTAAAAGGTACGTGAAATATTCTTGCTCGAGATTTACAGAGTCCGGTTCCATTGACTTGTTCGATAGAAGCAAACCTACAACACTGTGTCTATTAATGTTACAGGATGTGGCACGAGGCAGGATCCTCAACGCGTTTTCACCAATAATGTTGTAGTTCGTTTTCATCCGGGCCTCGAAATGGACGGCGACGAAGTTATCACGATAGTCTGCAGATATCCTCCTCCCGTTGTGCAAGCAGCACCCGCGCCTCCTGCTAGCGTGTAAATATACAACAAGAAATAACTATAGCCTATCTTTTGATACAGCTAAGAAACTTATTTGTCGTGTACCTACAGGCTGGCTACCGCGACTCCCGCTCCGTTGGCCGAACCACCCCTAAAAGGATTTCAGATTTTGCTGATCATCTGCGCGATCCTGTTCCTGTCGTTGCTCCTGCTGGGTCTGGGCTGCTCGTACATGTGCTTGAAACGCAGAAACGTTCGCGTCATCCATCGTCATCCGTTCGGCAGCAGCTCTGGCTCCGAGATAACCAAACTCTCCACGTCGTCTCTAAGCAACATCACCATGTTCGAGGGTCTGAAAATACCTAGGGCTCACGCCCTTCTTCACGCACCTCCGTCCACTACGGGCAGCGACGCCAATTTGATGATCGATCATTCCTTACCTAGCGATTACCCCAGCGAAAGTTCAGAGGTGAGTTCACTTGCTGATGAATTACACCGACTAGTAATGGTGGAGAGTTATTTGAGTGTTTAATTTGGAATGTTTGTTCACAGGTGGACGAAGAACCTTCGCTGCCTGTATCTTCGGCCGGCTCGTACGACAACAAGGCGTTCATTCACCACGAAACTCATCAACGACAAGAAATACGCACCAACAGTTCCCTGTATTCGGAGACGGTGGCTGCCGAAGTAGAAACGTCGTCCATGACAGCGGCGAACGCTTCGAGAACCGCGATACCTCGACACATGATGGCCATGCCGCTAGAGCCAAAGTTCGACGTGCAAATGCGAGTGAAAAGAGCTCCGCCGCCCCCGCCCAGCCCTCTGTCTCTCTTGTCGGAATCCGACGTGGCAAGCGTTGCCTTGGAAAGAAACCTGACCACGATCCTAGAGAAGGAAGAGTCCAGCCTTACTCGCGGTCTGGAGAGTCCAGCCGGTAGAATGACGACCTTCTCCTACGTTCCGGATCATCATGGACCACCACCGGGAGGAGCCTCTTCCGGCTCGACGATATCCCGCCAGCAAACGCCGCCCGTTTACTCGAGGATTCTGAGGAAACAGGCAGAAAGAGAGACGACCACGACCAGCACCAGCCTCGTACAAGAACGAATTCCCTCTCCCGCGGATTCCCCGGTCGAACAACCGCCTCTTCTTCAACACCACGAGATTCGCAGACCGAGATCCTTGACTTCCCTGAACACCGAATTAACGGAGACGCGTTCCCTCACCGAAGTGACCGACCACACTCATGCCAAGTACAAAGTGGCCAGTATCCTCGCGCCGACGCCGCCGCCGCCCCCGCCTATCGTTCCAACGGCCACGACGACTCACACGGCTATACAACACCGCGAACATAGGCTGTTCCGCGAAGAGGCGACGGAACCGCTGGTCGAGCCTCAGGTGGTCGCCCCAAGGCGTCCAGAGATCACGACGCACGAAGTAGACGACGTGTTCTTGAAAACGGTGACGGAGAAGAAGACGATCGAGGACGTGGAGCGTCATCGTCGCCAGGTGACCGAGTACAGAACCAGACCACAGCCGCCGCCCGACCCGAAATGGGACGTCACCATCAGGAACTATCCGCAAGAGAACCTGCCGCCACCCCCGCCGGAGTGGGAGAACTTCTCCGACATCAGTTCCACTTCCAATCTGACTATCACGAACGAAACTAACGGAATCCAAGTAGACGTCGACGCCCCGTTGGACGAGGAGCCCGACATCAACATCGAGCCAACGTACACGGCTCGCGCCGAGATACCTTGCAGACTGGCTCCGTCGTCGCGTCGTTCGATCGACGAGACCGACGCCGACTGGTTCACCAGGCTGTCCCGCGTCTTGGACCCGCGTTACACCACCGAACTGACCGAACACGAACGCGCCAGATGGCGGGAGATCATTACGACGGACAGCACCCTGAGGACGCTGTTGACCGAAGCTGTCGTCAAAGAGGACTACGAGCTGATACGCAAAGACGCCAGATACACCAATCTCTTCCCACCGGCGAAATGGGACGTGATCATTCGAATCCTGGGACCCCATTCGACGCAAGCCGGGTCCACGTCGTCGTCCAATCACGGAAAGAATCACGGACAGAGATACAAGAGGTCGAAATCGTCCGAGTGGGACACCAGGTCCAGGAGATCGTCGCTGCCGACTCTGTACGAGTACGAGAGCGACGGAGGCAGCTCTGCTCGTAGCCAGGGCCACCGGTTGCAGATCTCGCAGTCGGCCACGGCGATGGGTCAACCGAGCCGATTGCGCAGATTAGGCTCGAGTCACAGAGGCGCGGGCGGTAGCAGCGAAGTGGACGTCAGGTCGATGTCCGAGATGACGGTCAGAGATTTCGTCAGAGTGGACCGCGACGACCTGACGAGTCTGAGCTCGTTCGAGGGCGCCGACTCGTTGGTCAGGTCCCTCAGTCAGCCTAGCTTAGCCAGAAGCGGTTCGGAGTTCACCGAGCACTGGGGTATACCGTCGGGGATGCTCGACCTACCACCGTGGGCGGCGGAGGACGCGGAACAGGGGACCAGTTCCGTCGAAACTACGCCCAGAGTCGTCAGAAGAAACGATCGTTTGGATGTTGTCGCTTCGTTCGAGGATCGCAGACAACCGCCGGTTGGGCCAAGCTCCTCGACGACCAGATCGAGTCGCTACATGGAAAGAGAGCTGACCAGCGTACGCGTGTCCGAGAGTCAACGAACCACCAACTGGTTCCACGACGATTCTGAGCCAGAGATGCAAATCTGAGCTGCCAATTTTCTTCACAAGTGTCTTTTCATTACGCTCTTCTCGTTTCGTTGTTACCACGATCGAGCCAGAACACGAGTCGCTTTCGATAGCTACATTCCGACAAGCATATTTATTCTTTAAACTCTCTTCTGTATTCGCTTCATACCTATATACCTTTTCTTTTTTTTCTATTTTTTTTTTTTAACCAAGTTGTTAACTAAAACACCAGTTCGATGGCCAACTGTCTCACTGCCTGGTTGCAAGAACAATTCGTTAACGTTCACTGCCTGTTTCTTCCTCGCGCCCGGCAGACCAAAATCGAAAGATGAAAGACGAAAGTCTGCCTTTTCGCTGGGAGCAGCGTCTCTACAAACGTCCAACGAATATTTCTATACGACTCAACGCGTCGACCACCATATTTTATACGTTCCAAGCCGCGATTCAAAACGGTTGCTTTCGACGATGCCATACGAGGGACAGTTTTCCTCGAGTACGCCAACGAACAGAAATGTTTACGGACGTACCCGACAACTAGCGATTAACGTTAGTAATTTCATCGTTTCGTTCCAGCCAATAACAAAGCTTAATGTTTGGAAGACATTAATCGACACTAACACACGGCAGTCGATGCGTTGAAAAACGATAGCCATTCTCTACACTCGCCACTCGAAATATAATAGAAGAAAGTCGTGTTCGATAACAGGTATTCGCGGCTTTAACGAACGAGTGGGACTGTAGATTATAGCAAAGGTATCGAATTAACCATAAATTAATAATTCGCTCCAAGCAAGTTAAAGGGTAATGTTTACAATTAACCACGCAACAAATTATTTTTCCTAACGATCGACGAATGGCCGGACGTCCATTCACCATGACTTTTTGGAGCGGTATTTAACACGTTCGCTACCAACCTTACCACGGTTCTTTCATTCCGCGTTGTTTTCGAGTTTCAATTTCGCCTCATTATCAATTCTTTTTACTCGATAAACGATAGACTCGCAATTCTCTCGGATATAAGCTCGGTTAATAAACAAGCAAAGGGAAACGAGCCACAGAGAACACGAAAAGTTGATGCTCGAGCATGAACCATCCAAGAGACCCAACAAAAGTTACAATTTCTTCCAATTAACTGCAACAGTACTACATCGCAACCCTCTATTATTTCTGCTTGGATTACTGCAACATCCTACGGAAAAGGAACTTCGTAACAGTATGTAGTTCGAAAAGAAAACCATCCGGAATAATAGACAGAAAAAGAGAAACAGAATAATAGTCATTACCTATCCCGGCCTTATTACACTCTGCGTAAATAATACCCTTATTCTTCTTGACGGTCGTATGTTACCTCTGTCTCTATACTGATTACCTTCCCAGAGGCAACAGCGAGCTTCTTGACTATTTGAACTAGAAAACAATGGGAATAACAAGGGTAAACCGAGTTAACGAAAGTGTTAAATATTCGGTCGGTAGTACCGCTGCCTGCGATAATAGTCTATTTAAATACGTAACGAAACATACGGTGCTGGGTTATACGCTTCAAACAATAGCTAAATAGGATTGACTCCCTTCTTCAAGACGTACGTTAATCTTCTCAGAGTTAAATGTATCCTATATGCAGAGTGTGTGTTGCTGGTTCGGAGAGATATCGACCAGCGCAGCGCGACGTGCACGCGAATAACTAGTTTGTTCGCAACCATCTACTTATACACAGGATATCTCGCAACGCGTGCTCGTAACAACTTCCTGAGCCAAAAATAACACAACTTTAGAAACAAATATACCGAACAAGTGTATGTTCCTTCGGTTATCGACGGTCAAAATCCAATCGACGTGCAACGTACAACGAATCGAAAGCGCTTCTCGTTCTTTTGAACGGGAAACGTCCGCGAACCGTTCGATACCAACGTCGATGAAACTTTCCACTTTTACCGGAGCAGCCAAGAATAAGAAACACGTATTTTTTTCTAACTGCGTAAACTCAAGTTTAAGGGGTAAAACTACCCTTCAAAGTTTCAACCCTCTAATGCTATCTTGGAAATTATCGTTGAAGGTATATGCAACTGGCGTGTACGAAAGATTAATAAGAAAATAAAACGAACGCTTATACGACATTTAATTCTTAGACTTTTTATAAAGACGAGACAGTGAGATATTTTTATACTGTATTTACAATGGGATTGTAAAAGTTTTTATTTTATTCGAAAATGATATTATAAACGAGTAATTGTAACGATCTCCAAGACTGATAACCAATTTTCGCGAAATTCGACTTTTATAATAAAGTAAACGTGTCATGAATTCATTACGATCAGCGCGATACATCTGCAACTACTTTTGTGGAATTAATGTAAAATGGGTTCGAATTGATTTGTAAAATGTACATATAGTAAATAATAATAATGCACGTGAATCGTACCACAGGTATATTACGAATTGGCTTCCTTTTTTTTAGCTGCTGGTTTCATCCCTTAAACTTGACTCGAAATCAGCAACATTTCGCGAATGTTTCTTTCATGTTTAAAGACACTCGCTGAACGTAACATCTTTTTTTATTATTTCACGTCCTACGTATAGCTTGGATCGTTGGTATCGATAACTGAACAAATCGTAGTTCGAGTTATGCCGAAATCACTCAAAACTGTTTTATTTGTGATTCTGAGCTTACGGTTTAAAATGTATCCTATTTGAATCTTTCCACGAATTTTACGAAACAGTTTGCCATTTATACAAACGTTTTAAACTAAATTCGCTACGTTTGTATATATAACAAACAAAAATTTATTTCCTTGATTTAAACAGTTATTCGGGCAAAAGCTATATTCGTTCAATGTCAAGTATCATTTAATGGTACAAATTAATGTTTATTCAACAAATGGGTAGGTGCTTGAAAAACTCAAGTATCAGAGATAAAAAATTTGTAAAATAGCTACACCTAAAGTAATTAGGCTGACCATGAGGTATTCTACTGGAAATAGATTGGCTTTAGTCCGAAACACTCGTTTAACTGATCAATAGTTTCACAACTAACCGCGTGGAAAGATTAAAATGGGACATCCTATATATATATATATATATATACATATATATATAAATGTATTAACAAAGAGTAATCGTTCCCATGGAATAATTTTCCGTCCAATCAACGTTTTCCAAGCCAAGAATGTTGTATGCTTTTTTTTTACAAAAGATGGCGGCAAGCCGACGTTTTAAATTTTACTGTAATATTTTTTACCGTTGCGTAAAACTAACGAAGAGGTCTTAAAAATGTACAGGATCTCTAACAACAACAAAAATGCATCTCCTTCCAACGTTAGACCGAAATGATTGTTCAGGTCCATGCATGAAAAGACTATTAAAATTGTCAAACAAACAATGGCTTTTCTCAATTTCACACACCTCTAAACCAATATACGTAGGAAAATGAACTGAAAATTACAACCGATTTTCGATATTATTCGACTTAATATCAAACGACGGATTTCAAACGTTATCCAAATAAAAAAAACAGTGTCGTAAAAAACGAAGGAAAATGGCTGATTCGAATGTTCTGATCGAGGAAAATTCGACAAACGGTCCAGTTTCAGCCCTGAACGCTTCGACCCGAAGGACGGTGTTGTTTTTTGAAAAACAAGTTCTCGCGAAGCTGCGTTTCTCCGATCGGCGCGACGCATGCGTTTTTCCACGCGGCGCGTCGCGTCGCGGCGCTTTTGCCCATCGCGGAACAATCTTGGCCCTGAATCGAGCAGTCTTCAACGAACGACTCACTGTTCGTTCGCGTCCATTTGCGATTTCTCGTAGTCTCGTTGTTACCATAGAGCTCCGACTACCTGTCGAGAACGCGTTAACGTCCAAACATTTATCGTTAACGTAAAAGTCACACGGTGAGAAGCAACACGACTTTCCGATCATTTGGTCTCGACTGTCTTTCGACTAAATACAACGGGTTCTTCGTTTACAAATTACGCTCGTTTGGAGTTCAAGGACAGCTGACCGCTTAGACTCCGCAACGAAGCAAGTCGATGGATGTTTCGGTACCGAAACTTATCGACTTTAACGTTTCAAGGTAATTGCAGTACCGAACGGAGAATTTGGAAAATCGAATCTCCTCGACAAAAGTGCCAGCCGTGAACGTAATTCTCGTGCCGATACAACTTTCAGTTCCGGGAATCGAATGTGATGGAAGAAACGGATCGTCGACGGGATGGAATAAGAGATTGCAACAAGTTCTTGATGAATGAAATTAACGAGTTGGCGGCCTCTGTGGAACGCACGTGGCCAGTGGAATTCGTTCGATGGGGAGTCGATTTTTAACGAAGCTAGTAACAGAACGATCTTAAAATCCTAATTGGTTTTAACGAGGTTCGTATTACAAAAAAATGCAATAAAGCAATCTTATTCGATTCAAAAGGACACAACATGTTATAGTATACGAATTTGTTGGTAGTTCAAAGGCATCTATATATTTTTTAAGGGTACTAGGTACACTATGTGCCAAAATTGAAGAATCATAAATCGTATATCGAAAACTTGTCGATATTTATAAAATTTATAAAATAATTCCAAAGCCTTGGTGCGCGGTGAGGAGGTCCATGCCCGTTTAAGTTCTGTTTAATCAGCACGCGAACGCACAAAAGGACGCTCGGTTTCGTTTAATCGAACCAAGACCACGACGGCGACACGCCGAGGAATCGAAGCGTTCGAAACTCGCGCGAATCGATCTCGGATCAGTGGAGCACGTAGTTGAAAAGAGGGTTATCGGCCGGGTAAAAAGTCCGATGATCAGAGGATCGGTGAAACGCGATGGTGGGGTTGCTAAGGTACGACGGTTGCGTCCAGTTATGGTGGCGAACAACGCTGGATGGTGGGGTTGAAAGGTGGCGCAGTCATTTATGGTTGCCGGTTCATCCGACAGTTCAGTGTACATCCGCCCGACAACGGCAAAAAGCTCGCGAGCCGCACGAACGTACGATCGAGTTTCGACTTCGGATACAGTTTGTTACGGTTGGAATTCCGACATGGAGAAACAAGTTAAACGGAGAACAGAAAGAGTTCGATCGATGAACGACGCCGTTTCCGATCTTCCGATCACGCTTTTCGAACGTGGACCGGTCACGACGGCTTAAGAAACAGAATTTTAGTGCGACGGTGAACGTAGAACAGTTTCGACGGATGCTCGTTGCCGATTTCGATTTCGATTTCAATTTCGATTTCGATCGATCAATTTTAAACGGAATCTTTGAAACATGTGTTCGTTGTCAAAGTTGAACCCGAAACTCGGTTCGACTTATACTCGAGCGTGAAAGGACCACTTGGAAAAATTCAAATCTCGAATAAGATGCAAGAGGTATCGTTCGGGGACAAAATGTTGGCGTCGAAGATGAACTCGCTGAGGAGGTCGACGAATCAGTCGACCAGGGAGGGCACGTCTGGCAGAAGGCACGCGCTAACTGGTATCAATTCCAAGAGTATGAGAAACGTTCTCCACGCGACCACCGCACCGGGTTCACCCCTTCGACACAGATCCAAATACGAGCTGAGAAGCATCAGCCTGGAGGGCACCAAAGTTTTACCATGGACGGCGCGGTAAGTCCAAATTCTATCCTCGATTCTAATTCCCTATTGGCACTATCATCGAGATGCACTAAAAGATAAGAGACCAGAATTTAGGAAAAGATTCTTATTCAAGCTTCGGCCCAACCACCGATCACTGCGCGATCCAAACCTTCCTATCAATTTTTTCGTTTCATCAAAAACATTTGTTCGTCGTTAATTTCGTTGTACAACTATATTATACAGTAAATTTGCGTGAAAGGTTTAAAAAGATATGTAGATTAGAAGTAAAATGATTGAGAAATCCTTAGAATTGTAAAATCCTATCGCAGGGTCGAATTAATCAGGAAAAAGTAACAAGGTGCTCGGGGTAAGAAAGTATCTCAGTGTCACACGTTCACGAGTAACCCATCCAGCGATAACAACAAACTCCAAGCTTTCTATTTTAATATGAAATCGAACGTTTCCCCGGCTATCTGGCCTATATCGATCTTCTTCCGATAATCGCTGACTATTCGCGATCGAGCGGACGCATAAGGCTTCATTGGCTGTCGGCGCGGCGCGACGACGTATCGGATTTTGACGCTCGCCTCCTCTTTATAATTAACTCTTTTGCTATCGGGCTGACCGGAGTCTCGACCGTCGGTTTCCCTTTTGTGCCGCGTAGATCAATTTCGATCACATGCTCGGCCAAGTGGAAATCGACCGCGGCGCATCTCTCGGCTGCGGACAGAGGGAAGAGATCGGGGGCCGAACGGGACGACGCCGGACGACACGAAATAGCAAAGAAGCAGGGGAGACGCGAGAGGAATAACAACAACACGCCGGAATATCGTTGAAACCCAAGCTACACGGAGGGGACGGGCGTAACAAGCTTTCAGATAATCGGGAGACACTGATCAACATCAAACAATACAAGGAATAACAGATCAAAAGGGAAAAGTAGAGGAGAACGTTTTGTCCTGGACCTGATACTGGACCGATAGACCCTAACAGGCCCTGCCTTGGTCCCTGGGATATTCGATGCACACACTTGTGAGAGAGCAACTTCCTTTAGTTCTGATCTTGAGTGGTCTTGAGAATACGCTGCTCGCGAGGATACGACTCAAAGAACATTAACGATCGCACTCGATCACCTATGTGCAAGACACAAACTACCAGTCACAGGATTCTCTTGGACGATACAAATATTATCGCCAAGGTAGAAGAGTACCTTCCAGAGAAGCGTCGAGATACTCAAACACCCTAACAGCACCAACATTTTTGTCCCGTTGCTCCACTGACCAATTAAAAAGTAATTTGATCGGTGACCAATGAACCGAAACACGAACAACGAGCAATGATCCGGAACATGGGCAATCCTCTTTGCACAGAAATAACCCAAGTCATCGACTTGTGCCTAAATAATTAGATGAGTCCGTTTAAAAAAAAAGAAACATGCGTTTAAGAAAGAAATGGTACCGCGGTACAGGAGTAGTCATCCAACCGTGTCAAGTCGATTTTTCGAGTCGTTTGGATAAAATTAGCAAACTGTTCGAATTATGTATGTGCGTATATCCGAGTTGTTCGTAAGGACCAAACCGCTCTCGGCTCGAATATTTCCAGTTGAAAAACCCTCGTTTCGCGTTTCACGTTTCCCGAGTATGCACTCGGAGCAACTCTAATGTATAATGCACGCGCGCACAAAAACGCGAGAGAACTAGACCGTTTCCGATTACTTTGTCCCGTGAACATATCGAGAATTGCGTCATCTCGATGGCCCGCGTCCGTAGGCACCTATGCACATCTATCGACCTTGTATTCTATAACAAAACTTCCATAGACGCGAGGCTAAATAACGATTCAGCTTTTCTACCAACCTGTCGCAACGCCTGTTTTTTTACAGGACCCCTACATTTTTTTAAACACAACATATGTATACCTCTTATCGAACCAAATAACATTTACTTCAACCGGTTTCCTTTTTTATTATGCATGGTTAAAGCTACCATAAAATTCAAAGGAAATCGCGAATACTTTCTACGCGTCCATTTTTTACATATTTTAAGAGTTTTCTTGATATTTTAATTTTTATAATATATCTATAGATCTATCCAATGCGTTTTCGTATCGTGTGGCGCGGAAGGTTATCTCTATACCATTAATGATCGCGCCACATGCGACGTTACCAATCCAGAAAGAATATGACTGCAGCGCTAGAGAAACTACACGTGTCGCTTTTACCGGTCGTTAATTATTTTGAACATAATTCAAATCGGGGTTGACGTATAAAAATGAAATAGTAGTTGCAATGCTACTCAAAAACGGTATAGTCGTCTTCTTACTATTTTGGTGCCAAAGTCAACATTATTGATTCCAAGTCGAATAGGATTGCAGCGCTATTAGCCATGAGAATTCAAACTAAATCTAGCGGGAGTTATCTCATCGATTGGAATCTTGAGAAACATAGCTATACAAGATCACAACAGATTAGCTCGTATCATTTACTATGTAATTAATAATTGTATTACCCACTTATGGGTTACTTTAATAGACGCGAGACTGTCGACACGTCTTGCTACGCAGAGTCCCAGCGGACAAATGACGATTTCGTACTCCGTACCATCAGTCGTCGCGTCTACACTTATGCAACGGATGGGGAAGGGTTCCTCTTTCGATTTTCGAAGGGTAGTTTACATCCTGTATCTTGAGCAACTTTGTTGGCACTCTTAATAAAAGTAAGTCAGCCATGACAGTTTTCGGGCACATCTTTTAGTGGTTGCCAACATACATGTACATACCTACTCGTAGCAAATCAGATAACATTTTATCGAACTCTGCTCGTCGGTGGTGTCGCACGAACCGAAATCCTGTTAAATTATAATTCCTACCGCGTGCAGCAACATGATCTGCTTGGAGAGTTTGTCGGTTACGTTGCACGTGACGCTAAAATGATAATTGATTTCTAAAGCTCGAGCAATGTGAAAACATCTGTGTTTTCTACCCGTTACGTCATGCAAGGACTTTGCGAAATTCGAGTACCAGGACGGGACGATTCAGAGAAGCGGCGAGTTTATCAGTTCGAGTTCCTCGTATGTAAAACAATTCGCGATACACCGTCTGAGTCAACGAACGAATCCCGAGTACTTCCACGGCTAATTTTAAGGATCTCGTCTATTTTTCGGTTTCGCAGCTGCGAAAGTGCGGATAAGTCCGACAGATATTGCCGACCGTAAATTTAACGCAACCCTCTCATGCTGCATTGATTTTCCAATACAAGAAACTTCAAGTTTTCAAGCTTGTTATTCTTCGGTTATGAAGGCAATGACATACCGAGCTTATACGAAAAAGTAATTACGAGACATTGAAATAAACCGTTTTAAAAATCAAAAATAGGTGTTAAACGTAGCATATAGCTAGTTCAAAACGGTAAAAAATGAAAAGAATAGAGAGAAGGAACCGTTGGAAGAAAGGATCGGGTGTCGAAAATATAGAAAGGGGCAATCGGTAAAGTAAACAAAACGAGGGCTGCCTGGTGAAAAGATTAAAGTGCTCGAACAGAGAAGAAGAAAGTGGCGGGTTTCCAGAACGTAAATTGAAAATACAAAGGAAGAAATTAAGAGGCTAGAATTAGGTAAATCGAAAGGAAAAAGATCAGCCTAGGGTACGAATAAGAAGAAGGGTATACAGTATTGTCTCTATAGAAGCGACGCTCTCGGGGCTCAACGCTCGGCTATATCGTGGACGAGAAACGATTCTTGATACTTTGTTGACGCCTACTGGAGGCGGCGAGTATAGAAAAGAACAGCGAGCATATGACAAAGAGGGGCTGAGCGGCCGAGCATCGCCGAATTTGCTATCGCTTCCTTCGCTTCGGGTCGGCTGTAACGAAACACAGGCGATGTTTATGCGAGCCTATACGAAATCGGTGTTATAATTCTGACTTCTACCTCTCTTGGTAGAGGTCGCAGAATGAAATACTGATTCTGTTATAGGCTCGCGTAAACATCGCCTGTGTTTCGATACAGCCGACGTGGAGTCACTTGAGCGATGCATGCCTTTGATTTCTTATTGCGTTAGTAAATAGGACCTAAATTGTATATCGTATTTGGTGTCATTTTAATCAGAAAAGTGTCACGAATATGTTGATGAAGTTTGAAAAAAGGAAGAACAAAAATAAAGATGAATTTCGTTGTTGATTTAATATTGTATATGTACTAGTTAAATCGTGTCATAACTTCAGTACATATATGTATGTATCGATCGTTTACTGCAATAGTGATATAACCCGAAAAGATATACATAACTTGCGAATTTAAACTGTTTAACCAACTTATTTTACTCTGAGTTGTCTCACGATTTCGGCAAATAAATGATAGGTCAATTAAATTACAATTCCTTTTTTCAGATGAGGATACACTTTAAAGAAAGGTCAAATGTATATTATAATTTATGAAAAACAATAATAAAAATTATGTTGTACTTGATCTTAGTTAAATCAGAAAACTGTCACAGACATGTTAAAAGTTTCAAAACAAGAAAACGAAAAATAAAAAATTTGTATTATTGCACTAGTGTTGCCTTAGTAATTTGAGCCCGTATCGTATGACAATGTTCGACGACCGACTGTCAAACGCGCCGCTATCTTGGGGAACCGCCCATAGGAAGGCATACTCGCCGATACAGCGAGTGCTTAGTTTTAACGGTACGCAGTGGGGATAAGTAGAGGGGATATGATATTTGCCTATATCGTGGACGAGTTCCGAGCTTATATAGAGAAAATACTGTATGTATTTAAGGCGCGGGTCTAACAATACGTTGAAAGGCGAAGGAAGAGCGAAAACGTCTGGTTTGAAGCTGATAAAGGGTGAAACGAGACACCAGACGAGTCCAAGTTAGAAAAGCAACGCTACAGTAAGACAGAAAACGTCGGTGAAACGAACCGTCGGCGCAGAGGGGGGCTGAAAAGAGAGCCAATGAGCTCGACGACGCGGCGCCAGTCGTGGAGTCGCCGTGTTACTACCAGTACTTGCTCTCTCGCCGTGGGTTGCCGTGTCCTCATTCGAAAAGGGTCGTGTCCTGCCACCGCCACCGCCACCGCCACCGCCACCGCCACCGTCAGTAGGGGTTGCAGACCCGAGGCAAACCCATCGCTCGTTGCTTTTCTCCTCCTTTGCTCCTCGTTAATCGATATATTCTCTGGATCTTTCAGATCAACCGTTCGATAATACCGCTAATCGTGCCTTCTATTTTCTTCCTATTTCGCTTTACTTTTTTTTTTCTTTTTGTTTATACGTTCGGTAAACTGTTCGATCTCCCATTGCAATTGGGGTCGTGGTCCGGACTTGATCTGTACTCGTAAAAACGGTGGCTGTGTCTTTCGGCGAAAACACTTGGATCGATCGTTTGTTGCTGTTGTTGATCGACGATTGGACGCTTGATTCGAACTAGTGTGGAAAAACTGCTCCCGCCGGAGCTATGTACAACGGTGAACTGTTTGGTTGGATCTTCTTTGGCGACTGTGGACGGGATGCCGTAAGAGGGTGCACCTTTTTCAAAAATTGAATGCTAAATTATCGTCTCAAGGTTCCTCAAGGTTTTAATTTTGTCCATGGCTTGAGAAACTTACTCTATAAATTAGCTTTTTCTTTCTTTCCATTAAGTCTTCGCTCTTTGACTTGAATAACGATAATAGCCGTACTTCATCCAACGAATATTTGTCGAAAAATAAAACTTGACTTTTTATTTTTCGACCTATAAGAAAGAAAAATGTATTTGTTAGAAGGAGGTACGTGTCTCGCGACGAAAACAATTCTATGTCGATGCTCTCTATTAAATTATCGCCAGTATCAGTTTCACGGCGCCTGATAAATCAGGGTGAAGGAAACTGTAGCCACGGCGAACAAAGGACATTGTATTTCTTTTTGTTTCTGAACTTCTTCCACAAAAGACCAAAACCAGTATCGGTAAAGCCCTAGGTACAGTTGAAAGGGAAATCACGCATACATGCATACTTCACACGTATAAGCAGGGACAAAGAAATAGAAATATAATGGTTTAAGTTCAAACGTGATAGAGATCGAAATAATATTTTAGTCCTTTGTTCTTTAATTACAAAGAGACAAAGTTTTACTCTTCATACTCTTCTTTATTATCACGTATCTTTCAACCAGTATGAATTTAGTTAGAATATTAAAAATATTAGTTAAAAAAATTCGGTAATTATTATCGGTTTTTACTGTTGTTGTCGATGATATTCGGAAGGGTTGTGGAGACCCCCGAAACTCGATAACTCAGTCAATGATATCGATACATACGTACATATGTATAGTAATGTCGTGGATTGAGTACCATCTGAGGAAGAACACGCTTAAATGAGTAGTACAAAGACAGAATAAAAATAAAAGACAAAAGAACATTTTCATGCATGTAGTACGCATTGCAGCGTGGTTAGTTTTTCTTTACAAATATATCTAAAACATAAATTGCACGATAGAAGGTTACAGTAACCAGACACCGCACGCTACAAACAAATGCCATATGCAAACCTTAGATATTCATATCGCGAACATAAGAACGCGCGTATATAAGAAAACTAGTTTTGTTCTCTACAGAACGTATAAATACTTGTCCACCCATGTAGATAAGTCGTCCAAATAAACTTTTATCCGTAGAAAAATGTATTCGTGACTTAGACATCTAGATTATTCGTTATCTAGATGAAAGTGTGCTGAATACTTGAAAGCTGCTAATATATTCTTTACTTATTCAGGTATTGAATATGAAATTATAATACATTTGGCATTCACCGACGAAACGACTGAAAAACATCTGTGCATTCTGTATTCAACGTTGACGTTACGAAACATCGCTTCACTGAACATAACGTTGCTTCTTCTGTATATGTTCTTCCTCTAAAAAATCTTATTTTACTATATTCATATCTCATCTACTGCAATAACAGCATTTTCTTTAGTATCGTGTTTCCCCTTTCGCTTATTCGATATTTTAAGCAAAGCAATTTAGAATGGTAGCAAATGTCCCGTTCCTAACTTGGTATTTAAAGACAAAGTATTGTAGTACCATTATTTGAATATGCAACTGCCGAATAAACGACGTCGTAAAATAGTTTTGTCGTTGGTGACGAAATTTCACGGCCAAATACCTGCGACTCGTGTCAGCTGGCTGTGGTGCGCGTACAGGGTACCAAACTCGTTGAAAAGAAATGTCGTCGTGTATTTAAAGTCCCAGAGAGCGATCTGAAACGCGAAGAACAACGCTCGAAGATGTTGTGTTTGGACATAAAATTGGTCTCCCGGTTGCGGGGAGTTTCACTGACGAGTGGCTCGTCGTCTACAAGCGTGTCACCGGTCCCCTCTACGGCGACCTCGACCTCATCGACGACCGGCTCTACAGAGAAGTGCAAACGAAGCAAAGGAAGAAGAGAGAGCACTGGAAATGGGAACTCGTTGACGGAAAGCGACAGCGAAGAGGATACGTTGCCCGTCGGTCAAGAGATGATCCAGAGAAATAGATCCAGATCAGTTTGCGTGTCCGCGCTGCCATCATCGCAATTGAGACATCTGCATCGACGGGCCAGTCATCACGTGTACGTTGCTTGATATTATTTAACTTCAAAGTGACGGAGTAAAACATTTGCTACTCACGTACAATTCATATTCCTGTCGTAGATTCCGTCACAAGTATGTACGTATATCGAACCGTTGCAAATGAAACAACCCATCTCTTCGTGTATGCGTACAGGACGTAAGCTTGTACCCTTGACTTAAAATTTTAAGAATTGTCACGTTCTAGCTGAAACTCGTTTGTATATCTCGTAATGGACGTTTCTTCAGAAGTCATTTACACGATTGGTTCTCCATAATTTAAACGCATATCGATTTCTATCGATGTAGGGTTCCCTCGATGACGTCATATTCAACAAGTTGCTCGATGCTTACCACCTTTTTCCGTTACGATAATTGTTGGCTTTTCAACTGACGAACGAATGTCAGGTTTCTTGTTTCTGTCCTATAAATTTCGAAAAGGAAAAGTGATGATAGGTTAAAAAAGTAACGGTGGAAAAGGTGGTTCGAACGAAGAGAGTACGAGGGTTGGTTGGTGAGCAGACTCGAGCGCCACTTTGCCTGTTAGGCTATTATATTTCCTTTGTTGTATGTAGAAATATGTTATATCATAAACTCTCATTCATGATGCTTCCTACGAAGTACATACTTGCGTTACAAAGATCATGCATCTTCTTTCCGAGGTTCTAATTCGGTTCTAACTTGGTCCCGATTTCTAATGGCGCTTAGTCCTCGATACATACGTAAGACATGTTTTACGGTTTCCGGCAACAGATTCGATACTTGTAAACGCTATGCGATAAAAAGAAGACATTTGTTGGCAGAAGCTTGGAAGGAATACAGTATTTTATATTTTACTGTCTTCGATCCTCGAATTTGTACGATGTTCCAGGTCTACCACGGACACAATTTCCAGACGAGGAGTTCTTTCCAGGCGATATTATGGCAGCGTGGAAATGGTAAGAGTCTTTGATAAATGTTAATATTACATTTTTACGAATTGCTTAAAGAATTTGAATTGTCGGTCTATAAGTTTCGTGTGTATTTTTACGTAATACCAAGTCGACGATTGCTTTACCTTACATCAGTGTTTCTTAAACTGTGGTCTGTGAAATCTTGGTATACATACATATCGTTATCATATGTGAACATATGTATAAAGAATATGCAAAGTGCGCCAAAATTTAAATTATAATAATAGCAAATGGGTATACGTTAAAAATACGATTGTTTATATCGCATGAAATCAAAGTTTGGAAAAAACTGAGCTTCAACAAACTGTATCATCGAGAAAAACGGATACAGAAGCGAGGAACAATAAAAGTTAATTACCAAAGAGCGGTGAAAACGGGTCGCGAAATAGGGTTCGTTTTTCCGGCTATCTGTGCATAAACGTAGCCACTCTGAAACTGGAACACGGCCTCTCGAAAGACGCGATTTCCACGGCTTCTAATGTATCGCTTCGAAATCGTTTTTTAGCTGCCGCAGATCGAGCAAGATGGCTCGGATAATGGGAGAAGATTTCGGGTCGAGAATGGCGATTCCCCCGGCGAGAAAGAGGAAGTAAGAAACATGTAATTACGTCTCTTTGCATGCCATCTATTGTTGCCTGTATTCCTCCGTCTCTACAGGCTATTAAAAAACAAGTTTAGAAAGTACAGCAATTGTAAATCACAAACGACAATTGTTACACCGAATTTAAAAACATTGAAACAGTAGGTCGGAATGTGTCAATAAAAAATCCATATAGAGTGTGTTCGACCAACCCTGGGAAAAATTTTAATGGGAGATTGTAGAGGCCGAAATAAGACGAAAATCAAGAATATCAAAAGTTATTAACAATTAAATTAAAAAATTTCAAATCGTTCTGGAAAAATTATTTTCGATTTTGGGGGTGAATTACAATCATTTTTGGTAAATAGACATACCCCCAAAATCCTGCGCATTTTCGAGAAAAAAATTCAGTACGGCCAGAACTTTAAATATTAATAACTTTTTAACGAAGCCTCAATCAACAAATTGGTATTCTTGATTTTCATTTTATTTTGGCCTCTAGAATGTCCCATTAAAATTTTACCCAGGGGTGGTCGAACACTCTGTATGTTTTACCGTGTTTATCGCGCTCTTTCCAACTTTACGTTTTCGCGGTTTCGTTATCTAATAAGTTAGACCGTATCGAATTGATTTTCAACTTGTTCAGATGTTCGGTTCACCGAGTACACCGATATTGGAAAATCCCGAGTACCAAACGCGTTGGTACTTCAAGTACTTTCTCGGAAAACGTGAGTAAAACGCACTCTAACATTTTTAACAATTTGCAACGTAGGTCTGAGTAGGTCGTTCGATAACAGGAACGACGAATCATATATTTTTATATTTTACTTGACCCTTGCCCCCCCAGTACACCAGAATTATGTTGCTGTGGATCAAGAAAGGAACCCTTTGTTCTTATCGGTTGCAACGAGCGAAGTCGGTGACCAAAGTGTGCCGCATTACAGAGTGATATTCTGGAGAAAAACCGTGAGTTTTCTACATTTCGCCCAGTGGAATTCTCTGATCCTTGATACATCATTTTTTGTTAACCCCCCATTCTATTAAAAATCCTATTAAAAAAGACACTTACTTGGATCTGATATTTCTTAATCGCTTGAAAATAATTTCACGCTATGTTTATCTTACTTTTGTACACCCTTTAATGAAAATCGATTATGGCGGCTTAAAGTAAAGTAAATAAAAGAGCACGCAATTTAGGGCGCCCAGAAGATATCGCTGCCGTACTCCGCAAACAAGACGCTGACAATCAGGCAAATCCTGAGGTAAATATCCTCGTGTCTTGGATCGAAAGCCAGTAGCGTAATATGATTCGTGACCGGCAATTCAAATTTCAGTAACTTCTTCGGGCTGGAGAAGCTCGACAAAGCACCGCGCGAAATTTTCTCGCCGGAGATACAAAAGGTAAGTTCCGGACGTCCGTTTAAGCGTAAAAACGATCAGAATCTACGTAGAAACTTTCGCGTTGTAGGATTTACTACTGTTGGAGGAGCAAGAGGGCTCGGTAAACTTCAAATTCGGCGTGATATACGCGAAGATGGGACAAACAACCGACGACGAAATGCTGTCCAATGGTAAATCGATTAAAGCTTGAACTTTTGCGTAAATATTTTCGCTAATATGTGAACGTCCATTTACAGAAGAGGGTAGTCCAAGTTTCCAAAATTTCCTCGAGATACTGGGCGAGAGAATACAGCTGAAGAATTGGGACAAATACCGGGGTGGCCTGGACGTCAAAGGTGCTTTTCAATTAGAGAAAGAAAATTATTTTCTTAGTATTTATTGCTTTGGTATATTTGTAGCAGCTTTTGAATAAAAGTAAACGTAAAATATTCCCATCTTCGTCGATTTTCGTGCATCATCTTTGTCGACAAAAATGTTTAGGTGACATGACCGGAAAAGAAAGTTACTATACGGTGTACGCGGGACACGAAGTTATGTATCACGTGAGCACGATGCTTCCTTATTCAAAAGACAACCCGCAACAGCTGGAGAGAAAGCGTCATATCGGCAACGACATCGTTAATATCGTTTATACCGACGATCCTGAAGCTATAGACGTTTTCAACCCGAATTGCATCAGGAGCCAATTTACGCGTGAGTTGTTTCAACATTCGTACGGGGGCATTCGAAATGTTATTTTACCCCAACAAGCGTTAAAATGCGAATACACTTTGGCTTTTACGAAAACGTTGGTTTTGTTTGTTATTACAGACGTGTTTGCTGTGGTATCGACCGAAGACAACGGGAAAGGTTGGCGCGTGGCTATCTATTGCGACGAAAGCGTTCCTTTATTTGGGCCCAGTCTACCCTGTCCACCTGTGTTCGAGGACCCGTACACCCTGAGGGAATTTCTCCTTGTTAAGCTGATTAACGGCGAGAAGGCCACATTCAACACTCCGACGTTTTCACGGAAACGGGAGAGAACGCTGGATGCTCTTCTGCGCGATATGTATCAAGAACACACGCAGGAGAGCAAGAGCAACGTAAGTTTATCTAGAGAGCGTGCCTGTCCGGCTCCAAAGTTTCCTTAGCAGCGAGAAAAGACCGTTTCAATTCTAGCCAGAGTAATGAGAGAAATATAAAAATAAAAAGTTAGCTTCGGTTGTGTATTGGCATGGCGTTCCCCCACTCCCCCGTGGAAAAGAATTCGATCGAATTTCCGCAGAGTATGTTAAACCGACGAGCTTTGTCGGATGTGGTGGAGGCTCCAGGTCGACGTCACGAGGAAACGCGTGCCGTGGAGATGGTGCGCGTCGGCCAGGCCTTAAAATTAGAAGCGATCGTGCGCGGGCTAGCGCCAACCTCATTGGCTACAGCCGGTCCTTTGAAGCCTAGACCATGGGAACCGAGATGCATATATCCGGACTTCCCCCACGAAGTCGTATGCGGGGACGTTTGGTTGGACAACAAGGTGATCCTCGCTACCGAGAACGGGACTTTTCTGATAGAAGGTGAGAGGAAATTTGCGACCGTCGTTGCCCCCGTGTCAAGAAAAGGAAATGAACACCGTTGCGCGATCCGCTTACCGTTCCAGACAATCTGTCGCACAGGCTAATTTTCGACGAGTCCGTGCAGATCAAGCAGCTGAACGTGGTGGAACAACACGGCATACTGTTGTTCCGCGCCGGTGACAAGGGCAAAGAGAGCAACGTCTACGTGTTCCGTTTAAGGGAGTACGAGAGCAACACGAGCAACAGATCGACGGAGGTGCTGAACGAACACGAGGACGATCTGGATTGCGAGGACAACGGGGACGAAGACGAGGCGGACGACGACGTCGATGAAAACGAGGATACCGATTACGACAATTTTACCAGGGCCACTGCAAAATTTAAGCCTATAATTCGCCCGCAGGGCCGTCATCGCGTACGTCCTCTGGCCGTTAGAGGACGAGCGCACATAAAGGAAAGAAAGCTACCGAGAACACGGGGCTGCCATTTGTACACCACCACCATGCCTGGTGGTTCTCACCTGCGTATGGTACGTCGACCACGCTACCTTACTCTATTGTTCGAGCTATCATCGTTCGAATTTGTTGCAGTGCGTGGCGGTTGGTCGACGTTTGACGGTTCTACAATGGAAACACAGCACTGCTTGGACCGCGTGGTGTGCCGCGGCCGACACGGACACGGTCGACGGTTTTCTCACGTTGAAGGAATTCAGTGCCAGCGAAGCTCCGTCGATGCTGACGATAATCGAGACCACGGACTCGATCAACGAATGGACGCTTTGCTGCGGCGTTCGTCATCATTTCGAGCTGATCTCCGCGACTGGAAGTACGAGGATCCTTCATATCGAGGGAACACCGAAGCCGCACTTGGTAGCAGCTTTGGATCTTTGCGAAGACGAGGAGCCAGAATTGCTGCTTTGTTACAATAGTTAGTAACGCGTTTCTTTGAACGCCTTTCTCGATCCATCAGCTTTTAACGCGTATATCTCGCCTCTAGACACGTGCCATTTTCAAAAGCTGGCGGAGGAGAGCACCGTACCGACGGAGTTCGATTTCAACTGGAATTCCGTGCCAGCAGCGATAGGTAAAGCAGCTTTCATCTACTCTTGGCGCTTCTGACAAAAAGGGGGTCGATAAAATTGGTACGGGACACCAGATATAGACCCGTGTCGACTGTATTTATATGAGATGGTCCAAAACGCAGGACACTTTTTTTTATTTTCACATTATTATCTTTAAAAAGTTATTAGTTAAATGTTTAAATGTTACAACTAATATAATTTAATTCTGTACCCTTGCATACCTACACACAGTGGAAAGCTATGCCAAATTCACTTTCTAACCGATTGTGTAATGCATATTAATTTATTGTAAGCTGACAAATGTTTACGATTGTTACTCTTATTTCGTTCCTCGGAGTAAATATCGCAGTATTTTATACTGATGAATGGTTTACGATTCTGTAGGTTCTAGTGCGTGTCCTAACGCGCGTTTAAATTAAAATGAATTTTTAGCTTGTGCCTTCCCTTATGTGATTGCCTTTACCAACGACACCATGGAGATTCGGTTGATAATAAACGGAAATCTGGTGCACACGATGGCTATGCCAAATCTGAACCTGATCACGTCGAAACAGGACATTTACTTCACGACAACGGCCCCGGAATTCCTGCCGGGGAAATGCGAAAGAATTCGACTCGACGCGAAACCTTTGGACAAAGAAGAACCGGTTTCCAGTCCGCCTCCTTTCGCACAGTCTTCGTCCTCTCGATCTAACCCGCAAAGTATGTACGCTCGTTGAAGAGAAATCATAATTTTCCTATTTCTATTTCTGTAACCTGGCCGATTTCGTAATTCACGCAACGCTGCCTGTAAAGAAACACGACTCTTCGAAACGAATATCCTTTCCTTTCACAGACAGCCAGAACGATTGGAAGCCGATAAGGATCTATCAGATACCGTTGCAAACGTTATCTAGAAGCACCCTGTCGACCTGCGCCCAAAGGCGATGCCCGAGCCCGGCCGAACCGGAAGTCATCTCCGCGCCCCCGACGACCGACAGAAGTTTCCTCACCGTCGAGCCTCACAGGGCGTTGAGCAGATCCTGTAGCAGCAGCCCAACCCCAACACCTACGAACCTGATGCCACCGCAATTAAGAAAATAAATCGATTCGCGGCGATATCGTGTCGAAGGTCGTACGACGTATTGCAGGTACCTGACGCCTTGGATCTCGGTAAGATCGATCAAGGAAATAGTAACCGGGTATGACGCGTCGCGTCGCGTCGTATCCGGCTCCGCGCTATGCTCCGCGCCAATCGTAGCTAGATTTACTGCCGTTGCAACAGCGATCAAGATATTTGCTATAGATGTAACCGCATGTGCATCAAGTGACCTTGACGTCTTTAATAATGCAAAAACGGTTGAGTTGTATTAAATAGAAATACTTCCCTTCGGAAACGGATCGCCCCGTTCATTGGAGATTCGTCGATGCTAATTTCATTACCAGACTTCCGGAAATCCTGATCGAAACGATAAAGAAATTCGAATTAAAAATTGTTATCAAACGAATCATCAAAGTTTCGCGAAAAATTAAAGATGATCAAATATAAATAATAATGAAGGTAAAATACGAAGAAAGCTCTATTTACTTTTTAGAAATCTTCGTCTATTGGGCTGTGCTGCGTATACAGTTATTTTTAAAAGAATTCGTAACTACGTCGATCGTTCCCTCTAGAATACTCTGGCAACTGTATCGGCAAGTCATGTATAATATGACCACGTGTACATATAAAAGTAATTAATAAAATGTATACCATCGTTGATAACGGTCCCGCTGCAAAGTTGCTCACGCCGTTAAATCGCTTTGCGATCGATCCTATTTTATTCAGAGTTATTCCGTTTCTACGCGTATGTATCCATTCTAAATAAAATAAAAATACCACAAGGGTTGTAACATCACGAATGTGTATTAACCGCTAATACGGAACCGCAAATTTAAACAAAAGGGTTTCTGCACTCTTAAACTGTATTTTATGAAATGAAACTTTTATTCTTAAATCTTGTAAAGTGACCTACAATTAAAGTTCTTTCAAATTTCAACATCATTCTGCATCACGACCCTTTTTCGTTCTTATTATAATTTGCGATTTTGCTATTATTCTTATTTTGTTTATACTTTATAGTGAAAGCGGACTAACTCACAAATTTTTCTATTCACTATTTGTTTAAAACACATTTTCGATCGTCGTTTATTGACCAAAGTGATCGCATCTACTAAACCTCGACCTATTTTTATGTCAAAGTACCACCAGGGGCCAAATAGTGGTGACCAGAGGGCCATCAAAAACGGAAATCGGAGTTGGAATTGCTCCTGTGATCATTTTTCCAATTCTTGGAAAAGAAGGTCTCCAAGATTTTTTTTAATACCAGGTAGTAATATTTTTTTATTATTTAAATAGCTCGTATCAAACAAAGTAACATTTATTTGTACAATTTTTCTTTATTTTTATTGTGCATTATTACGACAAATTTATTTTCCAGCCCCATTTGCATAATTTGGCCTGTACTTCAAACAGCTGTAAAAACAATTATCAAAATTGTTTAAAAAGGCTACAACGTATCCAAGTTTCAGCTAAATCCGTGATCTTGCATCAAAAAAAATATCCGATTGTCGCGTGGAATGACCCAATTACTCGAATAACTTCGGTAAGAACGAGCGAATCGATATAATCGTCACGGTGGAAAGGACTAGCTCACGTTTCCTGAAACGCGTTCAAACGGGCTCGAATCAAACGCATTCCGTGACTTTTTTGCCTCGCTGCCGAGAATTATAGATGCCAATCGCTGTCAAGCGGAGCTAAAGCAAAATGCTTGGCGACCCCGGTCAGTCTCGAGCATTGAACCATGATGATTTACGTTTACTTGGCTTGTACCACTATCAACGAAGCGTTGTAATATGATAGCTAGATTTTTATTTACCTCCTGTATTAAGTGTGCAACATTATCATACTGAAATGCAAGTTCCTTCTTGCAACGAAAAATTGCCATCATATCTACTAATTCGTTCGAACAACGTAGAGCAGTTATAAATCAAACGCGCAGGAATTCATTACTTTTTCATTCGTAGACCACTTTTTTCCGGCTATAGTGTCACACCTCGTACTACACATTCTTATCGGTATAAAATTACTGATTACTGGCACCTACCGATTGAAACAATCCTCTCAAGTTAAATTATTTTATCGAAATTTTGATTCTTAATTGGTGCCCGTATGTACATTGCATACATTCAACATTTGTAAATTACATTATTTTAAATTGTACCATTGTGATATCCCAGATGGCTGCATAACCATAGAAATTAATTATTAAATAATTAATCGATCATGGATCGGTTATTCAAACGGAAAACAACAGCACTATCAACAAGCTATACTCGTAGTGAGTTTCCTTTATATTCGTTTATAGTCTATGCGCAATAGCGAGTCTCCAAGATCAGCTAGCAAAGACGAAGCGTCGTAACCGGAATTTCGATTGTTCGTGGTCGATCGCTTGGCGCTTGTTACCGTGCGTCGTATCGATATACGCGAGAAACTCGTTTAACCTCAATATTCGTGAGTTTATTAAGAGAATAAATAACGAGATTTCGTCCGTGATGTGAACCTATCTGCTTTCACCGGTAATAATTTGGAAAATCAGAGATCGGATTAAACAAATCATTTGTGAGTTAAACAATGAAAAGCCGTTTGATCGTGTAGTGTTCGTGTTGAATCCGTAGCTGCGTCGCGTCGTTCCTTTAAGACGTTAATGCTGCAATGCATCAAATTAATCGTGCCACTTATTCGCATATTTACACTTCGAATTCGTAATGCGGCAATCTTTAAACGGTTATGCAGAGTTTAATTATGTTAATTTACGATCGATCGCGTCAAGTATTTTAGAGCCACGGATCAAACGTGCAATGTTCGTCCTGGAATCCCTTGTGTATCCGTGTTTCGACACTCAAACTTTATTACTCGATCTAATTGAAAATAAATATATGATTCTTCGTAATTATACAATACAATGTAACTGTTTGTTTCAAACGTAGGTTATTAAAGAAAGATATATGAATTAATATTAATGAAAATTAGGTTATTATTCGGAATAGAGGCTACCTATTTCAATGATTCTTTAAATATGTTATCCAGGAAAACATTCTCGACAACTTTGCCCAGTACACGCGATCGCCGGTCAATCTTAGTTTCCGAGATGTACGAGCTACAGATCTAATTGATCTAATTGTGATCCTATACCTGTATTCTGCTCAGAACATAAAATAAAACTAAATTAACTACTCGGGTATTCAAACTTTCGAAATTTTACATTCGTGGATCCCAAGTTAAGAACCACAGCAATAGAATTTCAAATAAGTTAAATTGATTACTAAAACTCTGATTATACTGAAAAAATGTCTTCACATTTGCCCTACGTGTTTCACGAGCAGAGATATTTCAGCTGAAAAGTTGAAATTGCCAAAAAACATGATTAAGAAACGTTATCGTCAACGACTAGACTTCGCGATGTTTTCACATATTTCACGCTAGATGGCGTAGCGATCCGATTTCGACCGGTATATGCTATTTCTCTACAGATTTGTATTTTATCGTTTAAACCCTTTTCTCCTACAAAAGCACTGCTATCGTAAAATTGCACCAACTCTGATGGAAATGATTACACACTTAAATCTAATAAAACATATATGGAATGAATAGACCGGTAATTTAAAAAAGTGAAGGGTGTTGAAAATTTCATTTTTTTATTCTTTAAATAATGAAAAAATGGGGTTATCTAGCTTTGGCAATAACTTGAATGTATCCTTGATACGTCCTGTATCCTGTATATTTGAACGTTCCATATTAACAGTAACATAACCATGTGTGAGTTCGTTTCTAGTTATGGCGACGTTGCATAAACGTCTGTGGAAAGACACGATCGTCCAACTTAAATATAATGTTATTAAAATATGGTTAAAACAAAATTTTTCTAGTGGAAAACATGCAATTTATTCGAGTTTATGAACAGAAGAAAATAACTAGTAACAGTTAGGTATGTATAATAGTATTCCGAAAGCGTAGTCGACCAACGAGAATCTAGTATGTACACATTCGATTTAGTGGCAATGCTTTGGTTGGATTAAATTGTACGTTCGCTGTACTGAAAGATCAATGCGATTTGTTTGTTTCAATAATTAACAAATAAAGTTTTTAGAGCAAAGAAAATTAGTACATTATCTTTAATTTATTGTTGAATAATTAATTTTATTTAAATTAGTATGTGGTTCGTTTTATCTTGCCCCATGGATCTACGTACTCGGTCAGGAGTTCGGTTTTAATATTTTTGCGTGAACGGACCGCCACTGAACTACAATCGTGTACTTGCTCGAATTATACATTGATATGTACAACGCGTAGAATATCAAACGGTTTTAAAAGTGTAAAAGAAATAATTGCTATTATCATTAAAGGATTCTAAAGGAGATATCTCAACCTTTTCGTCACATCGATAATTAAATAAGAAAATTAAATTATATTCTCGTTTAAAGAAGAATGTATTCAAATGCCGAAATATCCATTATCTCGTTAAATACATTCGTTATTACTTTTCTATACTACACCGTTTTCGTTAATTCGATGAGTAAAACGATAGAGAAAAGTTAGTTAAGAGAATCCTGTTTAGTTTCTGTTTGAAAATTATTTTTCAAGTATCGTTTCAAATCAATTTCGTCCAGATTCGTTATATTAATATACATCGACGTGCGCCAATGTCGACCATCTGGTGGCGATGCACTGTACTAGTGGCACTGGCTCCGCACACGAGTATAGAAAGAGAAAAAGAGAGAAAGAGAGACACAGGTACGAGAGGAGGTTGTGGTGTGAGGTAGCCACCAGTCAACAGCGGAGACGGAGACGAAGACGAAGACGAAGACTGAGACGGAGACGGAGACAGAGAGTTCGAGGTAGCCCGTGCCTGTAGCTGCCTGTGGCTTGTTGTAACTCGTTGTAACGTGACGCGAAGGTGTGCCAAGCTCTTTCGGGTGCCTGTTACTCCGTCCGAAGACGCCCGATCACTAGTCTACCGTAGTGTCGCGTATTGAAAGTGTCGATAGTGTTGTGATCTATCGGCCTGTCCACCCTCGTGTGTCAACGAAAAAACTGTACCAGCAACGTACATCGCCGTGGAAAACTGTCAAGAGTGTCGTGTCCCAGACGCTGCCTTCGAATACGAAAAATTCGGATGATCTTTGTCGCGGTCGTCGTATCGCACAGAACATAAGGTAACAAACATGACGCACGGAAGTAGAGAAAAAACGATGATAATGTCTAAAATCGGTTGCTCGAGTACACGAACGTTGCGCGTACAGAGGTTATGTTTCCCGATGACCCCTCGACTCGCTCCTCCTTTTCCTCGTTATCCCCTTTCCTTGTATCGTTCTCTTTCTCTCTTCTCTCCTGCCTTGCCTCCCACTTCTTCCCGCGTCTCCCTCTTTTTTTTTCTTTCTTTTCTTTTGCTCCTTTTTCCGTGAACGTTTCCCGACCGATGGAAAACCGTTCTCAAGTTTTATCGGACACTCGGAACTCGCGATACCTCGATAACCGAACGGAACGTGGAATTTCGATCGGGAACTCGATCGGTTGTAAATCGGTAGAATCTATCTCCGCTTTCAGCGTCTCTCCCTTTTGTCTCTCTATCTCCTTCCTCTTTCTCTTTCTCTTTCTCGTCCGCGAGCCGCCGAGGCACTTGCACATGCACGCTTGCACACCAACGTATTCCGCTTCTTTCCTGAAAGACCGTGTCGTAGCCTTTCTCGTGGTAACGAGTTTCGTAACCTCCCTCAATACGAGAGTCACGAACTATCAGCTGTCAGCCTCCGTAGTTGTACCACCTGTCCGAAAGTCAATTTCCTCTCCCTTTCTGTACTTTGCGTTTACTGTTCGCTGCTGCTGCTACCGGCCGCATCTACTTTTCGTTGGACATAAAAATGATAGTACGGTACGACACAAATTTTTCATGATTTAGCGATATATGTTCGGAACACAAAGAAACGCGACGTAAACGGACGCGTTTGCGAACGTGGCGAGGTAATCGGGAGCAAGCAACAAGCGATGCTAACCGAGTTGAACAGTCATGTTGATATTTCGGCGCGCAGGCTTTCTGGCTTGACAGCGTGACCGGCCTTGAGCCCCTCCGCGTCCTCCTCTTACACCCTTCACCTCCATCCCTACCATCGAACTAATACACGATATACATACACTGCAAATCAGTGCTCCTCAACGCAGGATGTTTGTGCCTGGGAGATTTTCTTCGATCGCTCGCATCAACTTCTTTCTCTGCCTGCATATGGACGTTTCGTCTTCCGAGCGAACCCGTTAACACGTTCCGTGCCACGTGTACCACCGGTGGTGCACGTTAAACTTGATCTTCAGGCCACGTGTACCACCGGTGGTACACTCAGACATATTTATTAAATGCACTGAAAATATATGTTCATGACAAATTTAATTCTGTAAAAAAATATTTCTACTAAAAGATTGAGACATTATACAAAATGCAGTATAGAACAAAGCACATACGTTTGTTCAATTGTTATATTTACAATAATTAATAATTACATGTAATGGTTGATTTTGTTAAAGCAAGAGATACATAAAAGCATTTTGTTTATAGCAAGAACTGCAACGTTGTCTAGCTGTCTTCGCTTTGCCCTCTTGCTTTTTAATTTCATGTTGTTTTCTAGAGTTTGACGCAATTTCAGAAGACGAGTTGTTGTTTTCATCCTCACAGTAACACAAATAATTGGCTAATCGTTTTCGAAATTCTACTATTGATATAGGATTCCGTTGCTGAGTATTATATAATATCCAAGCATTTACAACTGATGTGTTTGAGAGAAGCTCAAATGCTACTTTTTTATACCATTTGACAGTTTTGCGTAGTGAACTACTGTATGCTATCATTTGATTAGAAATGTCAACGGAACTCTTGGCTTCATTGTAATCAATCACAAGTTTCGGTTTTGCAATATCATATCCTTTTTTTCTGACAATAGCCGTCTCTATTATTTAAAACAAATTCGAATGCAGCAAGTTCTGTACTAGTCGAAATGTTTCGAACAGACTGACTTTTACAATCAAACTGATCGCAGCGCCAAGTGTACCACAAGTGGTACACGACAGGATAACTACTCTAATCAAGGTAACTGCTTATCGATTGACGATATAATGAGACATTGTGTGATAATATATCAATCTTTAGTCGAAATATCAAATGGCCTGAACGACAAGTCAGGCAAAAAGGGCTTGGCACGGAACGCGTTAAACAGAGTCGACGAATTATCTCGTCGTTAAACACGTGTCCGTGTCCTGTGCCCGTGCTCGTGTTCGTGTCCCGTGTACGACAAATTTTAACATACTACCAAAGTTTCACTCTTCTACGTGTTCAAGAAACGATAATACGTCGTTTCATTTTTATTCCCAGACAAATTACAACCATGTTAGATCATTTAGTTGCAACGATAAATGCATTCTCGTCGAAACGTTATCCTGACGTTATCAAATCGAAGGTCGAACACGGAATCTAGCACGTAGACGCGTTATCTCTGATCCAGGAACTTCAAACCGAACGAAAGTCCGACATTTTACCTACGAGACGCATCGAACTAAATTGAAATTCAAGTTGATCGATGGAAATCAGTATTTAGTCAATTTACCTTATCGATATTTAACACCTGGAAACAGTAAAAGCAACAAACGATAGTACAAAGCAGTAAAATAACAGTTCACTTTCAGAAAAGCTAACAGTTTTTATATAGATTTATCAGTTGTTTTATCTTGTCGAAGGTCCCACTATTTTTATTCTACTATCTCATTTTCTTTTCAGAACGTAGTTTATACGTATGAATCACTAGATCGATTAGACGTGTTTTTCTTTATAATCATTTACTTACTATTACTATTTCTTATTTAATTTACTCCTTATTTTGATATGTAATAGAATCCGGACGGTTTGTTGAATCTGATCTTTTAATTCGTGTCACATATTTTCAATCGTATTTAAATCATAAATACTCTGGGGTAATTATACAACAACCACTCCCTTAGATCCACTGATTCATCCTTTGGTTTAGGATTTTTAGTACGGGGTATATTCTAATTTAAAAACTCTTGCTTGAAAAATACTGTTTTTACAAACGTATTTAGTAACAGAGAAAAAAGTTTCAAGTTATCCTTGGTTGATAACAACTCTGTTATAATTTATTTTGGGCGACACCTGTCGGTATAAAGTTTACACATAACCGACTGTATCAAAACGCGGAAATTGCGTAGTCAGTCACAGAGTAGTCGTCGATCGGTGTGTATTATTGTATTTACGTTGTCCTATATTAATATTTTTTAATCATTAGAAATCAGGCAGGGAACCAACAATAGCGTTCAGGAAGAAGCTGATATAAATACTGTCGTACTTTAATGTTACTGGCGGCAAGAAATGTAGTCAGAGCTGCAGACAATATTTGTTAGAAAAAGGGCGGGCTCTATGTTTCAGTCTGACGTTTTATAAAACCCTTTAACAGCGTAGGCATCACATATTTATCGATAAAGGTCCCATAACGTTTATTCTAGAATGGGACGAAATTAACGTCGTTTTGTTACTGGTTGTATGTCGCTAGACATTAACATAACCTAACAAAATTCGAGAGATATTTTTTCCATGGAATATGATAAAAGGTATTTATGATGAGAAGTGTTGTTTCAAAGGTAATAAGTGGTTGTTGTCATTAGTCGAAGCCGAGCGGAATATGCAGGTAAAAGCCGTGAGCATTGGCGGCGACGGGTCTGTCTGTCCGTCCACGACACTGCCTCTCGTGGTAATCGCTACTCGAGATTGCGCAAGCTTCTTGATCTTATCACGACCGCAGAATGTATACATTACACGTGCATATACGACTGACACGCATGTACGTGCAACGCAAATTGCGTGTAGTATGTGCGCGTATACGAACGAAGAAACGTCGTTGAAGTAGGTATGTATACATATAGGGTGTGTGAAGAAACTTGGCGCCATATTTGAATAAGTTTTGATAAACATAGGTTATAATTTAGTTTGGTCGACACCCGCTGGGGTTCGGAGACAAGGTCCTGAGTTTTAGTAACACTTCATCGATAGAAAAATCATGCCTTATTTCTATGTATCTAGATCGCGGGTCGTTTGACTTTATTTATTTAATTCTTCCATCAAGTTTGGTGGAATAAGATATTCGAATGCTCTTTTGCTTTGGGCTCACCGCATACGTGCAGCACACGGTAATAGAAAAAATAGTAATGCGATATGACAATGTACAGGTAGAATGTAACGTAAATAACTAGGCGAGCACATGTGCACGTTACGTAGAGAATTGTATGTCGCGTGAATGTCTCAAGTCGTGCATATGCAGTCCCACACTCTGCACGTGAAAAGAGAGAAAAAAAAAGAGACAGGGAGAAAGAGTGTGTAGTGGAAACTCCCTAGATCCTTGAGACACGGATAGGCCTAGTGCGACTTATGAATATTGATGAACCTTTCTCGACGTACTGACCCGGCCCGGCCCGACCGCACCTCGATCGTTCGTCGTTCCTACTCAACAACGATCTTCCTCTCTTCTTCCTCCTGTCCCTCTTGAACGAATCTTTCCAAACTCGACGTCTTCTCGATTACACGTTTATTCACGTTTCATCTAACCCATCGTCGAATCGACGCAATTATCTCAAGCGTAGAAACGAGTAGAAAAATGTTCAAACGAATTGACATTTATCGTTCGTGGTGTTAACGAAATATTTTCGCGTACAAAGTTTGCAACGCGTGGTAATTAACGTTAAGATAAACAAGATACATAAATATAAACGTTGATACGCAAGTACCGAGTGTGTTCGTATCAACAAACCTTTCGAACAGAAAAACCGACATCGCTCGCTCGGTGCGTGCCCACGGTATCGCGAGAGTGCAAGACCTGAGAAGTTACGAGCGTGCAGTTCGTATAAGAAAACGTGTGCATACTCGGGGACCGACTCACCGCATGTGTATGCAACTCTGTCCTGTTCTAAAAAAAAATATCTCGCGCTCCATTCTAACACGCAGTGGAAAACAGTTTAATTCAAGGCTTTGATCTAGAATTACTGTAGCTGTTGTAAATACGCGAACATTGCATTCTAAAGGTCGTCGAATAAAACAAGTTTGCGACGAGTTAAGTAAGATGATCGGTACGCGTATCTGCGACAAAACTCTGCGTTCAACTTAATTTTT